TCCTGGGTGACCTTGGGCAAGTTGGTGAACATCTCTGAGTGCCCATTTCCTCTCCTGTAAGATAAATAGGAAAGGCGAAAGCCCGTGCGGTGCCGTGCAGGAGAAACCCTACCCCTCAATAGCTCACTTCCCTCTGCCCACTGCCGGGCCAGGGTCCGTTTGGGAGCAGGGTTCAGAGTGAGCTCCATTGTCCCTTAGATGCAAGGCTCCCAAGTTTTCCCGAGGCAATGTTTTGTTATCCGGAAGTCTCCGTAAGTGATCCGGCCAATATTTCTTAATCCACTATTTGCTTTCTGGATCTGGAGGTAGCGTTTCTCCCAGCTCTGTCCACTTGTGACCTTGAGCACGCAATTAGACCTGAGCCGAGCCTCAGTGCTCCTGTCTGTAAAATGGGGACCATGAGCTGGCAGTTGTGTTGAAACTGACCAAAGCTCCTGCCTGGGTGTCACCTAGTGCTTGTAACGTCTGCGAGGAACTGTGACAGGACGCAACACATTTTTCCTCGACTCATCTGAGGAAGGCCTCAACTTGCAGGGTCAACACAGGTCAAGAGTTAAAGCATGTTGGGAAGGGAGGGGGAAAGAACCTTCCTTGGGTGAGACAGTTGAGAGGGCCAAAAGGCCTGCTAGCCAGAGAAGTCACCCCCTCAGGACCACCGAGTCTGCGTGGGAGCTTGACAAAACAGAGAAGCCATGACAGTAACTAAGCTCTGAATGCAAATAAGTCTCCCAAGAGTCTTAAAGACGACTAACTTACAATTGTGAGTACAACCCCAGTGAACTTGAAATTGACACTGAGCATGCCAAAGACTCTGAGCAGGTCCCCTTCTCAGCTTCTCTCTCTGTTGATATTCCTGCCTCTTTTCCCCCCACTTCTGCCATGTCTGTCCTCCTCGTGGTCTATATTTCTCCTTTCTCCCCCATTTTACTCGCTACTTTCTCTCTTCCCATTTCTGTCCTGTCACCTCTTCTTCACCACCTTCGTGCTTTGTCTCCGTCTCAACACCACTCACTCCCTGCCATTCAGATAGTCACCTGTGACTTCTCTCCCTGGCATGAATATGTCCTGAATCTTTATTCCTCTTATATACCCCATTCAAAATTTAAAAGTAGAAACATTAAATTATTTATCTACAAAGATATTAAGATCCAAACTTGAATTGATCGCTATGCTATTTTCCTACACCCAACGCATCTGACAACACGACACCATTATCCTCACAATCATCTTTGATGCCTCTGCCTCTGTTCCCCTTCTCCTCGCTCTCCACTCGACCGCTTGCCAGTTCCCGGGGAGTCTGTCCCAGCTCTACCTCTGGCATATGTCCTTGCCTCCCTCTTCCCACAGGACGGAATCAGCAAAAAGGTCTGCTAACTGGTCTCTGCCTTTCAGTCCTTCCTCCTTCCTGATGTCAGCATGCTCTTCCTCGGGGAGGTCTCCAGTGATGTCACTCTTGATCCAAAACCCTGCCATGAAGACAAAAAACACCTCCCCAGAGATAACCACCTCCTAATGCCAAGAACCTGGGAATATGTTCTCTCACAGGGCAGAAGGGACTTTGCAAGTGTGATCAAATAAAGGACCTTAAAATGAGCGATTATCCTGGATCATACAGGTGGGCCCTTAAAAGTGTCCTTAAAAGTCGAAGAGAGAGGCACCACAGCGATCTGATGTGAGATGGACTTGAACAGCTGTTGCTGGCCTTGAGGATGGAAGAAGGGGTCCTGAGCCAAACAAGGCAAACAGTCTCTAGTCTAGAAGCTGGGGAAGGCAAGGAAACAGAGTCTCAGCTAAAGTCTTCAAAAAAGAAGGCAGCCCTGCAGACACTTCGATTTAAGTGCAATGAGACTCATATCACACTTCTGATCTAGAAAGCTGTGCCGTAACAAATGTGTTACTTTGAGCCATTAAGTGATTTTTCGCAGCAGCATTAGCTAGAACAATGCCTCTCTTTTACTGCTGGAGGTACACTTGAGTGTCTTATCTTGTTATGAAGAGCAGTCCAAGGTAGTCCTTACTTTTAGCATCTTGCTCTACCCAAATCTTGCATTTTCAAGCAATCTGTTCCTGGAAACCCTCTTCCTCTCTCGTCTGTACCAGTGTCCTCTCCAGCATGCCCACCAGTCCTCCCTCTCCTCACCGCACACGGATTCCATGGAGCTGTTCCAGATCTCTCCCTTCTTTGATTTCCCAGAACTTTTCATTGTCTCAGGTATATTTCATTTCAAATGGAGAGAAGAGGAGAAAGGAGAGGAGAAGACTGTCGGTGCACAGGTTGAAACTGCTCTTGGCCCTCTGCTCCCACGACGCTGTGTTCACCTCTGTTCTGCAGCGGTTACCACCACGCTTGGTGTTTGAGTCATTTATGTGTCTGCATGGCCCAGCGTGGTGAGTGCCTCGAAGGTGGAGACCACATCTTACCTCCTTTTCTATGGCCCAGTCCCTTGAGCCAGTCCAGGCACACAGTAGGGACTCAATAACTGTTTTGTGAATAAATGGATGAAGAGAGCAAGTGCCATGTCTGGTTGTGTTGAGCAGACAGGGCTACTCATAAAATTTTCTTGCATGATCTGTTTCTATTTAATGGAGCTGGTTAATGGAAGCGCCTAAGTTAATATGATGTGGTTTTAAATGAGGCTGCTTTGATGCATACCTTGAAATAGACTTTCCTTGGTGTTATGTTTGTTTTGCTTTTGCTAAAGAAGAGTCCCACAATAAAAGGGTTATGTTTTTAATCAGTTTTATTTTTAAAAGGTACTTTTGTAATTGGATTATTATAAACATGAAAACTCTTTGGCCCAAGAATTCTACTTCTTAAAATGTATCCTAAGGGTAAGAAGCCTGTGTACACAAAGACTTACCAAAGAGAATGTTCACTGCAGAATCTTTTGTAAGAGCGAATTGGAAATAGCCCAAACATTTAACAACAGGGAATTAGCTAAATATATTAGCCCTACCATGAAATATCATTTGGGTATTAAACATGATTTTGACCATTGGTATTTCTTATACAGAAACATGTTTATGAATATTTTTATATTCTTTTTACACTGATCTGTATTTTCTAAATACCATACAATAAGCATAAACTTAAAAGTTAAGTTTATTTTTAAAAAACATCTTTGCCTCTGTAATTCTTTCAACAGTGAAGGTAAATTTAAAAATAAAAATAAAAACATGTTTGCCTCCAAAAGGAGAGTTGTAGAAAACTTTGATGCTTTTCCAAGTTCCAAGAAAACCCATCTACAGGTGAGATTCAATTCTCTGATTATGACCAAAAAAAGGAAGAAGTCACAAAAGGCCTGAGATACTATCTAGGCCTGTCTCCATTCCATAAATGTATTCATTCTAGGAGTAGTTATTGAACCATCTCAATTAAGGCCTTTGATAGCAAGCCACAGAAAAGGACGCTAGCTAGCAAGCAAAAGAAAAATTATGGAACTAGATAGGGGCTCACAGAATAACTGGGATTCTAGAATCCGGGCTTGGAGAAGCCGGTATCAGAAAGGCCCCACAGAACCAAAAAGTTGAAAGTGCAGCAACTAATTCACAGAGAAACTCTATCAGGGACAGTGGGCCATGCTTCTGGACACAATGAATGGCCTCCATCAGTTCTCCCTCCTTGGGTCACTCACCCAAGTTCAAAATCTCTGGAGAACACAACAGACTGGCCAACGTTAGCTTTGCGTCTTCTCCTCTCCCCATTCTGAATCAGAGTGAGGAGGTCCCTCCACCAAGGCTACACACAACGAGGAGACTTTATTTCCCCAGTAAATTTGGGGTGCTGTTAGGAAGTGCAAATGGAAGTTGGCAGCCTGAAAATAATAAATAGCAACTAAGAGCCCTTCAATATGCCAGAGTGTTCCAGCTTCCTGGCTTGGAACAGGCCAGGGAAACTGAGGCACCAAGAAGCTGTTGAACCAGTGGTTACACAGTGCAGTGGCTGTTAGGAGTTGCCCTTCTCTGCTCAGCCTGCATGGAGGGTGATGGGAGAGAGAGGCTGAGGGCACCCAGGAGTGGGTCTGTGTGGTGTCTTCCTCAATCTCTGAAGGAGGAGGGCAGGTGCTCATGGCAAGAGCCTCCAGTACCAACCTCAGCTTTAGCCAGCAGAAACACCACTCAGAGGAGATGAAGACTTTGATTCCATTATTTTATATATAAACTTGAAACATGTTCAGGTTTTCTGTTGTTAATTTCGTCCAGCCTGCAGAAACAAATGCTATTTTTCTCTTCTGATTATCCACACCCTGCTCGACTAGTACAAATACTAAACGTCCTGTTGGTACTCACTGCGTAACAGCTGAAGTGCCTTAGCAGCACCACACCTTGGGGGTATCTAAAAAGTCTCAGAGCTTGTTTTAAGTTTATTTTGCTTTGGATGTCTTAGGGGCCGTGTGTGTGTGTGTGTGTGTGTGTGTGAGAGAGAGAGAGAGAGAGAGAGAGAGAGAGAGAGAGAGAGAGAGGAGAGAGAGAGAGAGAGAACAAAAAGGAACAAAGAAAATGGAAATTATATTCCAAACCCAAATTACTAAAATAAATCAATGCCTCTCTTGAACTCACAAACATAAAGTCTGCACACCTTGCATCCATTTAAGAGCTGCTGAAAATTTAAACAGTTATAAAAAAGAAGTGTTTTTTTAAAAATATATATGTTTTGTTATAGATTTCAGAGAGGAAAAGAGAGGGCTAGAAACAATGATGAGAGAGAATCATTGATTGGCTGCCTCCTGCAGGTCCCCCAGTGAGGATTGAGCCCGCAACCCAGGCACATGCCCTGACTGGGAATCGAATCATGACCTCCTGATTCATAGGTCAAAGCTCAACCACTGAGCCACGCTGGCTGGGCTAGGAAAAGAGTTTTAATGCAGCTGCACGGAAACCGAACTGTGAATACCTTTCCCGTAATGAGGCCAGGGCGGCTGGCTTCATTGTAATAAACGCCACAGAATAAATAAAACCCTAGAACAAGAGGCAGTGGCATCCATGAGCACTTGGGTCATTTATAAAAGTCCTTTGTTTACCTTACAGACAATCATTCTATTTCAGGAAACAACTTCTAACAAAAGTGGTGAGTGGAGAAGCCTTTGCAATTTGTTGTCAACTCTCCCATAGAGGGCCCTATTTATTCTTATTTCCCCACAACCCCTGTATAATTATCTCCTCTCCACCAAACCCAAATCAAAGCTGATGAGCGAGGCTCTTTGCTCAGACTCCTCAATTTGGCTGCCAGGGAGCCCTTGCCTGGACTCTGCTTCCGCTCCTGGCCCAGCTCACCACACTCTCGTCCAGCTATGCTCTGGCCGTGCAGGGCTATGGCCATGCTGGGTCCTGCACAGCCATTTCTGGCCTCAGGACTTCTGCATTTGCTGTTTTATAGACCTGAAATGCTACTCCTCTGGTTCAGCCTAAACATCTTTTTTTGCAGAGAGGTCTCCTCTTGACCACTCACCCCCCATCCCATTACTCTCTGTCCTAGCACTCTGTTCATGTCACTTGTCCTGATCTTACTCTGTGACTAGTTCAGTGATGTGCTCTTTACTTGTTTACTCTCTGACTCGCCAGTGAAACCTAAGCTCCTAGAGGTAAGAGACGCTGTGCTTCAGAAAAAGCCTGGCTGAGGGTGGACACTGCCTTGGTGAGAGTGGAATGGATGGAACTATGAACAGTACCATTGGATTTGCTTTCAGAGCTTCTGTGCTTTCCAGGGGGTCAGAGGTACCCAGTAACCAAGGGACCCCACATCCCTGTGGACGAAAGAGAGACCAATCACTTCTATGAGAGGATGTAGCTTCAGGAGAAATAGACTTGTGAGCAGGAGGGGCTGTGAAACGGAACAGGTGGTCCCGATGCAGTGACATCAGATGGATGAGGAGGCAGAGAAGGAGAAGCTCAGACGCCTCTAAACTAGGAGACAGCCGCCGGGTAGCCCGTCTATTCCAAAGGGAATTTACATGATTTGAACAAAAGAGTCTGAGACTGCAAGTTCAAGACAGGTGTTCTTAGAAACTTGCTGTGAGGCAAAGTCTGCATGGACCTGCTGTTTGAACACCGAAAAGCCGACCTCCTTAAGCCGCAGAGAATAGAGGCAGATAAAGGGCAGCCAACCGGAGTTATCGCCGTCCAGATAAGAGGCTCCTGGTCCTTTGTGTGTGTGCTTAGCTGTTCTTTGTCCTCTAGTCTTCCTGTTATTGTTGGGTTTGATCAATTTATGTTTGAAAAGGCCGTTAACTAATTCATGTTTTATTATCAATACAAATCACGAAAATGGATATTTAGCCTATCAGGAAGAAAAACTAGAAAACAAAGTCTTCCAAGAGCAGCTAAATCGATGAGATAGACATCACGAGTGTGACCTGCCAGACAAAACTTGGGCACAACTGAAATTTTACAATTTATTTTTAAATTTGTCTGTAGCAAAATTCATTGGGTTTGGGGTTGCAGTACTATGAGCTTTGACAAATGTTGTGTAACCACTACCACTTCCAGTTTATGGCACAACTGAATTTTAATACGGACAAGGTTATTTGAGGAATATATATATATATGGTTAACATGCAAAGTGTCCCCTCGGGAGTTCGACCAGGAGACGGGGAGTTCGACTGCTCGCTATGACATGCGCTGACCACCAGGGTGAAGGGCAGCATGGAACAAAGGAAAGCCCTGGCTGGCAGCCAGAAGGAAGGCCCCGATCAGCCCTGATCGTTGGCCAGGTCTAGGGACCCTACCCATGCATGAATTTTGTGCACCAGGCCTCTAGTTATAAATATTCTATTTGATGGGACAATTTTGACTGGCTGGGGCCAGCCTGAACAAGTCCCTTCGTCCTGCACACTGACCCTCCTTCCCTGCCCTCTATCAGTTTGTCCCATTCACAAACCTGAAAGCTTTTGTCCTGTAACTAGGAGATGAGGCTCTAATCATAGCGGAAGCTGCAGTGGGAAGAAGAGGAAAGTAGGCAGATATGGAATGGCCTTTCACTCTCCAGATTCCTTGGCCTGCTTTGAGCTATAGAGAGAAGAGGTCAGAAGTGCAAACCAACAGGAGTGTTTGTAAAGGATTTGTGAGAGGCTGGGCACAAGTCAAGACTCTGTGTTCAGGGCCCAACTAATGAAGCAGGAGGAGACCATGTTTTTGCACCAGAGAGGCAGTTCATTCAGAGCCAGATTCCCTGGCACAGACATTGGTGATCTCATGATGGGTAATGGTAGCAGTGACCTGTCACCTAGCAGCATTGACAGCAATGGAGGTGGTCAGAGTGGAGAGGGACACAGTGAGTATGGCTGACATGTTTGGATCGCGGGAGCATATGTGGGACCCCTTGGGGCCTCCTAATGATAATAAGGGGCACTTACAATACAATGGTTAGTGAATGATGTGACCTATATTTCAAGCTTAAAGAAGGGCAACCTGGGTAGCTAGGGAGCTGGCATATATCATCTCACAAACATTTTACTAGTTTTCTATGGACAGGCCCTGTGTTCAACTATGGGGAATGTGATGAATGAAAAAATGGACCCCTTTTTATCAAAGCACACAGAGCCAACTAGAGGGGATAGGGATGGACACAGATAATCTCAACACATTGTGAAACTTGATAGGGTAAGCATAGGCGGCAAATGGAACTCATGGCATTTATTACTTTATTGTCATTTATTATTACACTAGAGGCCCGGGCATGAATTCGTGCACAGGTGGGGTCTGGCCGGCCTGCCCCAATTGGGGCCGAAAGGGCAGGCCCGCTGTGGGGAGAGGCCACGGGTGGTTGGCTGGCCAGCCCCGCCCCCTGGTCGAACTCCCAGTCGAGGGGACAATTTGCATTATTAGCCTTTTATTATATAGAATAACACATTTATTGAACACATACTATTTGCTAGTCACTGTGCTAAGGAAGGTTAAGGAACTTGATGTTCAGATGACATGACTTGACTAAAAAGGGCTAGAACCAAAATTACAACTCAGCCTGTCTGACTTTAAAATCTTTGCTTTGATCAATCATGAAATAAAAATCATTAACAATAATGTATAAACAACATGAATGGCTGATGATCATCTTTTATTGGGCACTTAATTATCTCATACTATTTTGAGAGCTATTATGCAGAGAAAACAATAAAATCAGGCTGGATTTCTGCTGTTAAAGCAGAACAGGGGGCCAGGATATCATAGAGAGACAATTCAGGTTGGTGTAAGACTGTCAACATTTGGAGCCGTCTGGCACTGTAGGTACCAAAGCACAGCCTGGGCGCCATCTGCCAGGAACGCAAAGCAAGAACCTCTGTTCCAGGTGCAACGTTCAACATCACCTCTGCTACCCCCCAGCTCATTGATTCTCCGACGGTGCTGAGATTTGAAAAGCTCAGTCCCTTGCCAACTCCTTCTCAGGCCAACACTTAAATGTCAAGCCCTTCCTTTTCTTTCCCTCTCTCTAGGTCCCACACTATTTCATCCACAGTGCTTGCTGCAATTATCATTTGTATGCCAACAACTCTCAAATTTTGCACTCCAGCCCAGAATTCTTTTCTGAGCTCCAGCTCTACCTCTTGGCTGTAAGATATCCATGCCGCTGTGTGTGGGGCAGTACTTGGTCTAACATGGCCTGCATGACCATGGAAGAGAGATCTCTGCAGGGGGTGGGGGTGGGGGAAAGAGGTGAATTAGCTTCTGTAAGATCTTAGAAAATTCACAGAAACGGCAAAGGTGTTTGGTGGTGTTTCAAAACAGAAGGATTTGAACTTGAATGGCACAAACCTGTTTCTTTGACCCCCCTGGCAAGGAAATATAACCTAGCATACTATTTGGGACTTCAGGGACAATATTTACACAGTCATAATGATTTAAATGTTGTTTTCTGTTTTAGACTTCTAGAATCAACCCGTGGACATTTAAAATGAAGGCCACAGGGAACAGGGAAATAGCAGAGCCTGGTCCCTGATGAGCATGGAGCTTCCAAAGCCAAGATGGACTGAGTACCTCCAGGCTTCTTTCGCCTGGGAAAATAAATGATAAATGTGCGAGCTGCTGTGAATTTGTATTTTTCATTATATTCCATAAACCTATTTCTAACCAATTCAGACGATTTTTTCTGTCATTTGCAAATGAAACAGTCTCCATAGGTGAACTAAAAACAATGATTCTGTTCTCTGGAGACCACTGATTCTTAGTGGTGAGAAGATAGGCAGGTGACTGTCACTTTTCCTATAAGCACTGCATTGTTTAATTTGCAAACTCTGATGAAAAAATAAACTGGGATGACAACGCAATTAGGCATGGAGAAGCCACAGAGTAAGCAGTAAAACATCACAATCTACGATTTGGGGGGCTCCACGGCTACCACAAGTGAAGACGAATGTTAGCCAGGAATCCTGTACAGTTGTCTGTCTAATGGAGGCTATAAATTATGGAAGAAATCGCCAGAAAGCATTGTGTACACCTGTATGCTCACACACAAACGTACCCAAGCATGGCCTCATAGACCATTAGATGATATGGGAAAATACCACATATTATTAAGAGAGAAAGCAGAAGGCCTACCAGCACATTTCCGAGCATCTCTAGAGCAGAAATGCCTGTGGTACAGGATTAAAACTCTATGTGGAATTTCACAAAACATTAGCGGTGGTTAACTCTGGGTGACACAATCATAGATCATACTTGTTTTGTTTTTACTTACACGCGCCAGTGTTTTTCAAATATTCTACATTGAGTATGTCTTACTTGGTAATCAGAAAGAAGCAATATGCCTTCTTCCAAATGCTTTAAAAATACTTTTGAATGGAACAGAGTCCCGGGCATGGATAATACAGCTATTCTGGAGTACCAGCTGTGTGGAGGAGACAAAAGACTGTGACGTGACCACACCTGGCTCAGAGCCCTGGGAAATGGAGCAGCCTGGCCCCAAAGGCGACTGGGCTGTCCTCACGGTCATGCCCAGGGCCAAGCCCGCAAGGCGCACAGTGACAGGTGTGGCCTGAGACAAACCCGCTAAAGCAGAGAGTGAGTCCCACACACTCCAGACAGGCCCAGAGAAGCACAGCCTCTCACCTCCGTGCATGGGCAGCTGGCCCAGGCGGCCAGGTTTCACTCCGGCTTCTCCCATCCTCTATCCAGGGATGGACCCGGAAAGAGGAGTGGGGAAAACAGAGGAGCATGTGACAGGGCCACGTGGTGGCAACACTCAGGGCCAGGGTCCTTGGGCACGCTCGCGCGACAACAAAGCCTGGCTTTGTGCGTTTTACAGCTTCCAGTATCTTCCTGATCCAGAAGGCAGTCTGGGCCATAAAGTACCTCGAGGAGAGAAAACAGAAGGTACAAAGTTGATGT